GCCCAGAATGGACAAATCAAACACTGGCTCTAGATAGGAGCTGTTTTCGCATCGGCCACCATAGTTCACAGCCCCTCTGCATCAGAAGGAGAGCATTGGAAAAAAACTAACACCATTTAAATCACCGGCGCCGTTTCTTTTGGAGAGGAAGAGACCACTGTGGATACAAACTTCCAGAACGTCTGGATGTTAAGTTACCCAAGTAAAAAAGGTGAGCACACATTAACAGGTGTTGGGCTAGTGGCCTGTCTCCAATGTGCCAAACAGCGCCGAAGAAGCATGAAGCTGCTTTAATCAGGGTTTTTACCAATTTTAGGGTGCTTTCACACCTAGAGTTGTCTTGCTTTGGTCGGAATCAGGGATTCATTACGTTACCAAGTTGTATAATTGCCTAGAGTTGGTTCGTGTTCTCACAGCAGCATTTACAAGCGGACTAGATAAAATGCCTTGTGCGAGAAAGCTGCTCTTGATTGGTCAGAATTTCCATGTGGGAAAAATCCAGGAAGTTAACAAAACGTTGAAGGAGAGTACACTTGCAGGATAAATGTGACACTTTCTAATGTCACAATGGAGGGACTTCTATGCAGGTTGATTTTAGCGCTGCTCATCGTGGACTATATTGTTGTCATTGCTCATTTTAGTCAAACCATACAGTTTGAAAACGAGGCGTGGCTCCAACTAGAAAACAATGTTTTGATGCATTGGATGTGCTGAATGTGCATATTAAGGCAGTACAGGAGGAGGTGCACATTAATAATCCTCCAGGACTGTAACATGCTCATGTTTAACCCAAACAATGGGTCATGTGACTGCAGTTGGTTCAGATCGAGGTCAGAAAATGTTCTCACCACAAATGAACTGCCCCAGAGTTCATTTGTAACCAGACCAAGACCACCTCTTCAAGAAGGTCTCGGTTGTTTTGTTACCCAAATGTGATTGCTGTGTTCACACCTGCCCAAACAAACCGCACTTAGGGGGCAAACGACCTTGAGTTTGACTGAACTGAACCAAACAGGGCAGGTGTGAAAGCATCCTTAATCACCTGGTCTGTTCATTTTGGAGAGGAAGAGACCTCTGCAAGTGATAAAGCTCCTGGTAAAAACCTCCTGAACAATGAACACCTAGAAGACACTCTGTCTGTGTTCCTGGTAAGACAATGGCAAAGAAAATAAAAACACATACTGTTTTAAAGGACAAGTGTATAGGGTTCAGTGGCCTCTAGTGTTGATGTTGCAGATTGAAACCAGGTGAGGCTTCTTCCATGTGCCAAGTGTGTAAGAGAACTACAGTGGCCGACGTAAGAATTCGAAAATGCAAATGGCCCCATCTAGAGACAGTGTTTGATTTGTCTGCTCTGGGCTGTCAGCCTGCTCTTATTCCAGACTCATCAAATACCATCTCTTTGTCAATGATTTCCATGTGGGACACACAAAAAGACGGTTTAAGATCTACACACTGGACCTTTAATATAAATACACCAGTGCAGTTGTGTCCTGCAAACTGTAAAACTACTCTGGTTAACTGCACCAGTGTTGGTTTGGTTTATTGAAAACTTTCCTGTGGGAGATAAATTATTTCCATCATTGCCCTCAGTGTCTTAACCGTTCATTAACCTTTATCTAGATGTACACAAGATGTCTGATCTGAGAAATACTGGAAACTAAGCACTGAAAACTGGAAAATTAAACCATAAAAGCAGCCACTCCACAATTAAAAAAATCAAGGAGTTTATTGAATCATGGAGATTTGATTGCAAATAATAAATTCTGAGCGATTCCACACCATGCCCCAGTGACTGAGAGGAAAGACAGAAGCACATCAGTTCTGTTTCCCATGAATCGGAGTATGTGTGTGTGAGATAGTGACTCACATTATGAGCTTAATAAGTGCAGTCTTTTACGCTCCCATTAGGTCATTAACGTTACAGCGCATTCAAAACTTTGGCAGGAAGATAAAAAAAAGAAAAAAGAAAAGCCCTCTTTACCCTTTTGCTCCCTCAAGGAAGTACGTGGAAAAAAAGAGAATGAAAGGAAAATCTCCTTCATCTCTGTAGGCAACCCAAATCCTCACTGTAGCTGCAGCCAAAAACTAAATTAAAAAGACTGGAGTGTTGGTGTTTAACGGGCGCAGCGCTGCGCTGAGAGGGGATAGAAGTTCTCTCATGCTTAACAATTTGTTCCTCTGCTCTCTGCTGTTTGGAGGGATCAAACCAATTAAAAACATACTCTCTCTCTCACACACACACACACACACACACCAGCTCTGATATCAGCAGCACAATATCAAACAATATTCCTTGTTTACCAACTGTTTCCCTCCTAAATGACCATTCTTTGATTAATTTAACATCTTAACGACAGGTTTCAAGATCCAAGGTTGTGTAAAATCCCCCTGTCTGCTGTTTATCCTTTTTTAAATGTTCCTCTCACTCATTCACTTTCTAATAAGCCATCAAGTCTGCAGGTACATGTGTTAATAGGTCATTAAAAAATGGTTTTATTCATCAAACTGGATTGTATGAATAAGCTGTTAATAGGGGCTGGAGCCTATCCCAGCTGACACTGGGCGAGAGGCAGGGTACACCCTGGACAGGTCACCAGACTATCACAGGGCTGACACATAGAGACAGACAACCATTCATGCTCACATTCACACCTGCAGACAATTTAGAGTCACTAATTAACCTATGTGTCTTTGGACTGTGGGAGGAAGCTGGAGAAAACCCACACTGACACATGCAACTCCTCACAGAAGGGCTTTGAATCCAAACCCGGGTTCGAACCAGGAACCCTCTTGCTGTGAGGCGACAATGCTAACCACAGCACGAAAACATAAATCAACTAATAAACTATGACGTAAAGGGGAACACCAGCTACATAAATAACTCCAGTGTGTTATTTTTATGGCCTGGGAAAGTTCAATCAATATCTGTGAACATGAGCGACTCTCTCTCAAAGCCACAAACCAGAGAGGTCTCAAACTCATGATGTCATCAATTAAAAAGTCTGGAGCTGCTTCACAGACAATATGTGTTTCTTTTTCCCCCAAATGAGCTTTATTTTATTGTAGTGTTCTCAGTTTTGGAACAAAAAAATGTACCCATATACGTATATACATATAACAGCAGCTACAGACTTAGACCCTATGACATTAGATTTGAGTTGAGAGATGTTCATGTTTACTTATATTTTTGGACTGTCTTTGACCACAGGAGTAACATGTATGAATTGTAAAAATGGGCGTAGTTCCCCTTTAAATGTCATTGTAGCGTCAACGTAGATTAAACTACCCAGCAGTATATAAAGCTCCACATTTACCAGCTTTAACATCAAAGTGATGAACACACTAATGCATCATAATTAGAATCCAATCATATAATAATTATTATTCTGAAAAGAGACATTCTACATGAATATTTTCACTTTTCAGTAAATTAAATATATGTTGATGGCAATACTTTCGTACTTTTACTTGATACTTGATATTTTAGATGCAGGACTTTTTCTGACAACAGAGTATTTCTACAAAGTAGATCTGTTGATTTTACTTAAGAAAATGTCTGAGTATGTCTTCCACCACTGTGTAAAAGCACATTTCAGGTAAAAGTAAAAGTTCAGTCACAATTTTACAGAGGAATGGTCCCTGTTCGGGTGATATATCATTAGATTTTTATTATTGATGCATCGCTGTGTAGCTAGGGCGGTACGGTGGTACAGTGGTTAGCATCGTCACCTCAAAGCAAGAGAGTTCCTGGTTCGAAATTGGGATTGGGAGCCGTTCTGCATGGAGTTTGCATGTTCTCCCTGTGTCAACGTGGGTTTTCTGTGGGTACTCTGGCTTCCTCCCACAGTCCAAAGACATGCAGGTTAACTGGTGACTCTAAATTGCCTGCATGTGTGAATGTGAATGGTTGTCTGTCTCTATGTGTCAGTCTGTGATAGTCTGGTGACCTGTCCAGGGTGTACCCTGCCTCTCGCTCAATGTCAGCTGGGCACACCTGCAACCTCTAACAGGATAAGTGGTTACAGAAATTGAAATGAAACGAAAAACTGCGTAACTAGTCTTAACTATGTTGGGTACTGTGATACTGAAGTTGATCACATATTTAGTATGACAAATGTTGATCATCAAAGTCACTACTAACTCTGGAGATACTTTCTAACCCTGGTTGTAACAGCTTCATAAAAGGTCTTCTTACACGATAATTGATTCAGCTAAATTTCCAAACACAGAGTGCCGAGTGTTGAAGACACTATTTTCAGAGTGTTCCTGTGGGAAAAGAGCGCAGGAAGGAACCCATTCAGGTTTCTGGGGTCAGAGGTTAAAAGTGTCATTAATGACCCCCACAGATCTCGGGGCATTTTCTGAATAGAGGAACTTAACACGTCCCAGACTCTGCAGTCTGTGTAGGAAACTAAAACGAAACAGTCTCTTCCAGCTAATGGGATAATACAGCCATAATGAACATGAGAAACCACACCTCTGATGAAGTCATGTTCTGTAGCTGCAGCCTCACAGAGCGGATCACACAGCCCGAGCAATAGGCCTGAGAATGGAGGCGCAAACAGCTGTGATTTAACTGAGGGATGATTATCCTCCGCAGTGACACAACCTCATTTGGTCTCCTGGTGGCCTGCATACCTCGGCTTCCAGCAGGCAAAATACCCCCCAGGGATCCTAAAATACACGGCAGGCCGGGCCCAGGCCCAGCCAGCCAGCAAGCCAGCCAGCCAGCCAGCCGTGAGGAGGGGCAGCAGCCGGGGAGAAGGGAGAGAGGAAGGGCCAGGGGCAGAGCTGCAAGCCTGGACAAGCTAGTCAGCTCCGCAGTCCTCAGACGACAGTCAGACTGACAACACAGCAGGAATGTTAAACTCTTAGAAGCTTTCTCACTGCGTCTGCTCTCATTAAAAAAACTCAGCTTTGAAGCAGCGATTCCCCAAATGTTATGAGGATGAATGAAGTCAGAACAAAAGCTGACAAATGCACAGATCACCCAGAAGTCACATATGGTCTCTGTGTGCTTTTTCTGTGGCCAACTGCCTTTATTTAGCCATACTTCAGTTGTCAGATCACTGCTAAATGAGTAGCAGGGTTAATCAGGCCATCAGGGTCATGGAGGCCATTATCTGGTCTTATATTAAGGATGTGACTGACACACTGTGGCCGCATGATGTCATTGCATCTGATGTTTCCAACAACAGAGGGTGCAATTTGGTATCTTAGTTCATGAGGAAAGGTCATACACAGCTCTCACAACACACACACACACACACACACACACAGTACTCAGGATTATTATGCCAACACAATGACAGAAAGTGGTTGTAATTTGCCGCTGTGAATGATGTGTGATTCATTACAGTCATTTTAACAAGAGCTAAATCTTACGTTGTCAACATCATCGGCCTCAGCAGTCATCACCAACATACAAATATCAACTGATGGACATTTATGGAATCAAACACGTACAGACTCATAAACAACAAACAGGATTGAGGAGATTATTTGACATAAGATGAGAGGAGAACTAAAGAACATTTAACAAATACAAACAAAACGAAACTTTAAACCTCTTCACAGTGAATGCCTCTAAAACTTGATATAATATTCCAATTTAGTGAAACACTTTACTTTAACCCCTTGTTTATCATTTATATGCAAACATTTAATAACTGGTTCATAGGACGCTATAATGTCATCGTTACGGATTTAAGTGTTCATTAATGTATTGTTCGACAAATATAACTCCTCCTGATGATGAGTGGAGGCTGCTCTATAAACAGATCATGACTGATAATAAATATCCGAACATTTATTTGGTATGCATTTTTAATTCCTCCTAGCTATCTTGGATTAGTAGGACCTGATAATATAGTCCCAAAATCCTCAAACGAAACAACAATTAAGTCCCAACGTCCTCAAACAAGTGCTTTATAAGCAGCTTCTCACCTTGTTACTGTTGCTATTGTACAGCATATCAAACTACAACAGTTATTAATCATAATTAAACAAGTTTGAACCATTAAAATCTGATCAGGTTTTGGACCTTGTCCACTTTTGTGGCAGGGTCGGCTGTTGACAGCTTAGCAGAGATGGCTGCCATCTTGTTTTTACATGGATTAGTGTGAACAAATAAGTGTCCACGAACGAGGACAACAGGTCTAAGTTAAGCAGAAATAAGTATACGGTCCAGTAAACCCAAAAAGGCAGGGTCTCAGACGGATTTAATAATTAAGAACATGAGTTTTCATAGCTGAAGAATTATAGACAATATAGGTGCTTACAACATTATAGTGCTATGAACCGTTTATTAAATGTTTAGGATACGTTCACAATACAACCAAATGTGGCCCAAATCTATTTTTTTGCTCTTATGTGACACAGATCTGACTTTTTCTCAGCCGTGTGGACATAGAAATCCAATTTATTCCCAATCAGATCAGGGCCACTTTCATATGTAGTCCTAAATCTGATACATATCTGAACCAATGGCCATGCGACCAATGTCAGAACGATCATTTTTTCCATACAGCTGTGGTTTTTCAATAACATACATCACTGTGCAGGTGCAGATCACTCACAATACAGTGTCGGAGTGGTCTGTTGAAACTACACAGGGCTGCTGTGGCTATACCGCTACTGCTTAAGGCTGCCCCAGTCACCAGTCGAGAGAACTCCACAGCTAGATGCTCTCTGACGGGGACAGTTTACCTACATGCCATGACAGTGGTGTCACGAGGTGCTGACATGGATACTGGAATGTAGCCCTGGACATCCTAAAGTTTTGGAGGAACTGTTCTTCCATGAAACCCTACTCCAAAAACACGCCACACACTCTCCCAAACAGAAGCACTTACATGGCTAATTATCATGCAGAATGACATCATCAGACCTTCCTACTATGGGCTTTATTCAGGAGATGAAGCATGCACTACTATGTCATTCAGTTTTTTCCCCAAATGTGACGTTTGTTGTTGTTCCAACGTGCATGTGTGTGACATTACTGTTTGCATGTGAGGCGTTTCAAGGCAGAGACCTGTTCACACTTATGTCAGATATGGATCACTTCAAAGAACAGCCTTGGCAGGAAGATCAGATCTAGGGCAATAATCAGAGTCAAGCATTAATCCCTGCAGTGTGACTGCAGCCTTATATAGTGCTTATAAATGCTTAACAGGGGCAGTTAAAGTGTCACCAAGTTTAAGCACATCACAGCTGTTTTTAAGTCAGTTTTTTGGGGTCTTGGATCAACTCAACATAGTGCTGAAACCGTGGTGTATACAGTGGACGGTTCGTGAACTCTTCAAGATGTATGCACTGCGAAAAAAAAGTTCTACAAGCTGATTTTTGACTTAAGTCCCACTGAGAAAGAAGACACGTATGAATGGCTCGTAGCCTCCCTGATGAGGGATTAAAATAATTAAGGCTCAGTCCCTGCTGTCTGGGTATTAAGACTATGTTGCTGCTCGCAAACTAACCTCCAACAAGAAGCTCTTCACCTCCAGTCATGTTCTGTCCTGCTTAAAAAAGGAATACTGATGCTGCAAACCACATTTTAAACTTCCACCGGCCTGTTTAAAGGAAGCATTTCTGTTTCAAAAGTGCAAATGTTTCGGTTCATCAAGCCGAGTCGTTTTGGTTCTGACCGCTACGGATCTGTATCACGCGTACAGACGAGCTGTGTAGATCTATGAGGCCTATGTAGAGATTGCTTTGTAAACACAGGAGGATGAAGGACTAAAAGAGTTCGGGAATGTGCACGGTCATCATCGGAGTCTGGGGAAGATTCTGATGAAGAGGATCATGCTGATGAAGGTGAAGGAGACCAGGATGAGCATCAGCCACAGCAGCCAGTTGACGGACTTCTTGGTGTGCTGCTCCAGCCGCTCCGACTCCGTCTTCAGCTTCTCGAAGTTCATGTCGGCCTGACGCATGGATTGGCTCAGAGTCTGGGAGGGAGAGGAGGAAACAACTCATCAGGTGAACAACAAGATAAATGTTGAGCACACAAACCTACAACGCCGGTGTCTTATTCAGAGACTATAGACGTTCATAGGTTGGTTGTTATTCGTCTTGTATTGCCCACTTGTGAACAGAATCAGCTGAGACGTGTGGCGTCAGAAAGAGAAAATGTTTGTGGAACAGAATCGCAAAATGAAACTTAATAACTTCCAAAAGGCAGCTACTGTATGTAAAAACACCACATCTCACAGAAAATGAAAATATCTGACACATAAAAACATACTGGCACAAATGTTAAAGGTTAAGTCTGACAGAGCTGCACGATAAACCAAATATTTACAAGACAATACACTGTTAATGAGTTATCAATAGACCCTAATATTGCTCAACACTCATCCGACCCAGCTCGCCTCAATCACTAACAGTTGCCTGCCACTTTTTAACACCACAGTGTTTCCCCCATATGCATCTCTTTAACGTTACACCATTTTGTACTACGGACGCTCCTTATTCACATCAATTCACACCCCTGTGAGTGAAGCATATAAGCAACAAACTTTGTGCTTACCTGATACTGTCAGCACATGATTGTAAGAAACAACAACTGGGTAGATGTCAACCATGACGCACGCAATGCTGATCACGGATTCAGGATTATAAACAGTCCAGCAACTTCACGTGACTACTGCGCAGTAATGTTTTAGCGTATGCAATCATTTGATAGGAATTCGCAAAGGTAACATGCACCGACTATTTTCTTCTTCCTGGAGGCGGGCCTCACTTTGCTTAAGGGCCTCTATAATCCATTAAAGCTGTCAATCTCAATGATAACAGAAAAATTCCCTCACATAGATATTAATGTTACATATTATTTGAATAGGATTCCCTTATAGAGCCATCATAAATGTCAGTTATTATCATTGAAAATGTCAATACGTTTAAGTAGATTAATACTGTTTGGTAATACAACTTTTTTTGTTCAGTAAAAGCATATGTTCCTAAATCTTGAAACACCCTCCCGGTGCTGGCAGACACATAGAAACCTCCTGGAAGGGCGCACCTTGCCAGCACACACACACACACACACACACACACACACACACACACAATAGATAAATAAATCAAGAATTCTTTTTACTTCACTGCAACAACTCTATTCTAGAGGAAACACTGCACGATACCATCTTTGACATTACAGTATTTGCTCCTGACCACCATATACACAGTCAGCCAGGCGTATAAATGCAGAACGATGTGTATCAAACTAGTTCCTTATTTGCTTCCTGTTACACTCAGCAGCCATAGATCAAATTCCTACAAACAAATTTAATCTCTGATCGTCTCTGTAAAACCTGGGTCTACAAAAAACTGCTGCGAGAAACAGACAGGCTGACATATTACTGAATTAAAGTTTTGTTTAATCATAATTTTGTCTGGTGAAATGTAGTCTTGGCAAATACATATTTTATATGGATGCACGATATCAGCACATCATCAGAATCGGCCAACATGCTTTTTCTTAATTTGAACAATGAATTCATTTAAAAGTATTGTATGTCATGTCTCCATCTCCTGATGAGCCATCATGGTAAGAATATGCATGCATAGTATGATGTTAATTCCACTACAGAAGAGACTAAAATTGGGTGGGGAAAAAGTGGATATATCAATATCAGTATCGGCTATCTACCAAATGAGTTGTTACATATCGCCGTATCGGATATCTGCAAAAAATCCAATATCGTGCATCCCTAATATTTCACACCTTAGTAACCCTGATCTTATACAGTGTGACAAACACGGTAATTCTTGCACGTGTGTGTCCAGTTACCTGGTTGTCCTGTTTGATGATGTTCTGCGCTGCCAGAGTGTTGTTCTTCAAGTTTCGGGCCAGGTTGAGCATGTCATCAGCAAGTTTCTCCTGCAGGTTGTGGTGGTGCTGCAGGACGGCCTCCAGCTCTGCAGCTGACTGACGCTCATCCAGAGGAAGACCTCTGCACAAGGCCGCACAGCTGGGTTAGCATTTTTATTTTACTGCAGGCACAGTCAATACATACACGGATCAAAGTTCCTACTACAAGCATTTAGCAGTGAGGAGTGAGAGTGTGCACAGACATAGACGAACTAAAATGATACTGTGAGACACATTCATGATTTAACAAACTGGGAATGAGCCTGAACTTTTCAGACACAATCACTGGATGTTAGTCTTATATGTAAATAAATGCAGTATAATGGGCATTAGTTCTTTGTGACAAGAAATAATACGAGCAGCATTACCTTCTGTTTCGCAAGTCTGTTTCTGACGTGCCTGTAGAGAGGAAAGGAAAACGTCATCATTCTAAAACATCACTACCAGGAGAGGAGCTTGTTTAAATATGTGATGTCATTTCTCAGTCAAAATACTGAATTTAAGATGACTTTAAAACTTTGAATGAAAAAAAAAAAATCTTACCTTTGCCTGACAACCCCTGCAATGACACAAACATAGAGTGTGTGGCCCAAAGTATTTTTAAATGTAGTTTTTCCAACCAAATTTGAAAATATTTCATTTGGAAAGCCAGACTTTAGCAATTAAGGCATGAAAACAGAATATAACTAACTGACAACACTAGTTTAAAGCTAAAGTACAGTCTCAAATGTACAGATTTTACATGGTAAACCAACTGTAAATGAACTGCTGGCTAGTAGTGAGCAAAACAATGCAGATGTCATCGATCAGTTTTTACTTCTACAGTGTGTAAATCTCAAGATATTTAAGCTCAACTGTGTAAATCTCATCTTACCGTGCCGAGCAGCTCGTCTCTCATCTCTCCTGTACAACGGGCCTTCGTCTGCATGTGGACAGTTTTAGAGGCAGGCATCCTCTCATTGGCTATCGTGGGTGTTCGTCCGGGGGCGAGGAACTGATTGGCTAAAGCTTTTTCTGTTGGTGAAGACTGTCAGCGAGCACAGAGGAGGGAAGAGGTCAGAAAACTGAACAGGAGAAAAACTCAAGAAACAGGAGCCGATAGTTTCATGTTTTTAGGTATTTAGGATGTCCAGTTCAGATAACAAATAAGGAACACAGAGGATGAAGTACTATTTATAACACTGCCATAAATGTTAACGTGACAATAACACATTCTGTGCATAATATAGAAAATGACAATGATCATGAAAGTGTTGGATTTGTAAAATACTGCCACTGACCAGTTTCTCTGCCTCAAGAAGTCCTTTCAGAAAATCTACTTTTCTTGTATATTCAGTCAGGATTTCTGCTGTGGGTTTGCTGGAGAAAAAGATGTATTTACTTATGTGTTACAAATCAGCAATAGTAATAATAATAAAAAACAAATTAAGATACATGAGAGGTTAAGAGAGATGTTACCTCAGGCTCTTCCTCAGAGCCACCAACATCTCCTCCAGGGCACCAACATACTAAAGGAGACAACACACAGACAGTGACTGTAAATATTATATAGTTTGAAGCAGACATGAACTTCAGAGATGCCAAGCTGTGCACACTCTGCTGTGCCTCAGTCTTTTGCAGCTTTTTTTGTATTAGAAAGCAAAGAAAAGGCGACACTAAATACCTAAACCCACTGTTCTTATTAAAACATCCATCCAGAGGTTAAGTGTGAATGTTAGCCACTTTAAATTTATTAACAAACACATTATTTAACCTGGAAATGCAGCAGTTCACTGGGATGAACATCACAGTGGCATTTGACTTCACTAATGTTTATCTAACATTGATAAACCAGATAAAACAGCAGACTTAAAGGGACTGAGGGTGTTCATTCTCACTATCTCTGATCCAACGACAGCCTTCAGGACAATACATTAATGATCTCAAGATTATGGTAAGAATCTGTGTATAAATTACAACTAAAGAACGTGCCAAGGCCGTCAGATATTTCAAACAAGGCAAGTATACACCAATGACCTAAAACATTAAAACCAGTGACAACAGGTGAAGTGAATAACATTGATCATCTCGTTACAATGCAAAGTTCTGCTGGGAAACCTTGGTTCCAGGTATTCATGTGGATATCAGTCGACACGCTCCATCTATCCAAACACTGCTGCAAACCAGGTGCACCCCCTTGTGGCATCGGCACTCCCCGATGGCAGTGGTCCCCCAGCAGCACACTGCCCCATGCCACACCATAAAACTGCTCAGTAATGGCCCGAGAAAAATGAACTCAAAGCTCAAGGCATCGACCGGGCCTCCAACTTTCCCAAATGCCAATACGATGGAGCATCTGTGGGACATGGCGGTACCCCAGAGGACCTGCATCCATGCCTTGACAGGTCAGAGGCCCAACTGTGAATCAGACTTGGCTCTGACCTATGAAGGCATGGACACAGAACCTCCGGGGTCCTGTAGTGTTTGGCACCAGGGCATTGAGAGTGGACTCCTGTAGGTTGCGAGGTGGGGTACCGGCATGTCGCACAGATGTTCAATCATATTGGGATCTGGGGAATTTGGAGGCGAAGTCAACACCTTGAGCTCTTTATCACATTCTTCAGAACATTCCTTGGCAAATTATATAGTTTGGTGTGGCACACTGTCCCGCTAGGGGGGACCATTGCCACTGGGGAGTGCCGTCGCTACAAGGGGGTGCACTTAGTTTGCAATAATGTTTGGGTGGTAAAGCATGTTAAGTGTGACCTAAATGAATGCCAAGGACCCAGAGGTAGCCCAACAGAGCTTTACATCGTAACAACATGATTAAAGTTACCTATCAGTGGCTTTAATGTGTTGACTGATCAGTGTATATACAAGCTGTTTATTAGGCACACTTAGCCAAAACTAATGCAGTCTAATACAACAGTCCTGCATTTGAGAGGTATTGATTCAATTTAATGATCATCCTGGAGGCTGCAGTTTGTTGAATTCTAATATTTAGTCCAATCTCATTGATATAAAAATGTGATGGACAAAAGAAACACAGCTCAACAGCACCATAAACTACATCCTGCAAAATGACCATAAAGTTAAATCAACACCTCTTAACACAGCATAAAAGGAACATGATAAGCTTTGTGGTAGGTAGGATTAATTGCAGGAAAGTTGAATTATACAACTGTGACAGCTATCTGTATCTAATAAACTGGAAACTTAGTGTAAAGGTGTGAATATACAGTTGTAGCTGTGGTTGAGATCCTGGTTCAGCTGTAGGTGTTAAAATGTGGTTTGCCGTTCAGGTGCAGCATTAACGTCACTGTTAGCTGTCATTAATACAACAAGCTAACTTGGAAAAAGGTTAGCAAATAGTCTACAGATAAATTGTACCGCTAGTTAAAAGTGTTTAATGTGACGTGTGTGAGCAGAAAACACCAGTGAGAGGTAAAACCTGACAACAGCCTCCTCTGTGAGTGATTTCATTGACGACGTGGCTAACAGCCTGAGCGGCTAACGGCTAACAACAACAATAGTCATGCTAACTGCAGCTGATGAAGGTCACTGAAAACAGCACCGGACGGTAACAGTCACTTCCGGTCAACATCGTCTCACCTTCTCCAGCCTCCATTCAGTCTCTCCACGTTTCTCCGACGCTATAGATTCACAGCGGGACAGTAATCTGATAAAATTTATTTCTAATCTCGAAGCCATGTCTGAAGCTGACACACGGTCGCAGCAATATGACGTCAAACAGCTCAGAGATGACGTAGGCGGAGAGACACGTTAAACCATAGACATATATACATAGACGCCGCATCGACTGCCTGAGCGCGTCCTCGCCGGCCGCCATCTTGGATGGGTCTCGCTTCGCCTCCACAGTGCATTCACTTCTATTGAGGAAGGAGCTGTATGCACAAGTAAAATAGAATAACTCACTGAATTTTCAACTGATTTTTTACGCGGTTTGGTTTGTTACAAACGGCACACATATAGTTATGATACAGGATGCTTTCGTACATTAAAAATGCGGGATTTCATGCTTTAATACTTTCTGCAGATAGCAACAGCATGTTATTTAGATCACATCACAGTTATTTTATTCACCTCAACCCCAGAGTGGGATGGAGATAT